TGGGGGTGTTTAGAAGGCTTTCGGCCAGCCAGAGTTGTTAGAAGGCTTTAGCGGTTAGGGTTTAGGGTTTAGGGTTTAGGGCTTAGGGTTTAGGGTTTAGGGTTTAGGGTTAAGGGCTTAGGGTTAGGGTTTAGGGTTTAGGGTTTAGGGTTTAGGGTTTAGGGATTAGGGAATGATCCCTAAGCTTTAACATTTATAAGGTCTTACAGCGCATATGAGGCTGAACATGCCCATGGGCTTGCAGGCCGAAGGCTTTAATGTTGAAAGGGTTTGGGGCTCTCAAGTTTAGGGCTTAGAGTTTTGGAGTTTAGGGCTTAGGGCTTTAGGAGTTTAGGGTTTTGGGTGTGAACAATTTCTCGCGGCTTGTGGGGGCTCTATATGAGGATCCATCTCCTCTGAGGCGCTTTAAGCGCCAAGGTCTAAGGCGCTTCAGGCTTAAAGCTCAGGGTTCAGGCTGGTTTTCGGGCTTGGGTCAGAGCCCAAAACACACAACATTGCGTTCGGAACTTTCTCTAAACCCTAAATCACCCCTATACAAACCCTCAACCCCTAAATCCTAAACCCTCAACTCTTAAAGCCCTACACCCTAAATAACACCGATAAACCCTCAACCCCTAAATCCTAAACCCTCAACTCTTAAAGCCCTCAACCCTAAATAACACCGCTCTTAGGTTTCGTAAGGCTTGGGTTGAGGATCCAGAGTTTCGACAGGCGCGACAGATTTTGGGAGCATGGTCTGATACGAATTCCCTAAGGGTTAGGGTTTAGGGTTTAGGGTTTAGGGGGTTTTTTCAGGGTACCATAAACGTTCTATAGGGGTTTTATGAGGTTTGGGGTTTAGGGTATAAGGTATAAGGGTCCATGTGCCCCGAAGTACCCTTGTAGGGACTACTTTAAGGCCACGAAATATTTAGCATCTATAGTTTCCGTTCTAGTTTCCTTGGATGGTTTAACCCATTTTATAAGTAGGATCCTTTAAGGTAACCCCAAAAGGGAACTACAACGGAGACTTATAGGTACATGGCCACTCAGGGGTTCCTTAGCCCAACCAGTGCAGCAAACGGCGCAGGCTCAGAGCTTCTGCTGTAGGAGCTTGGGGGCTTCAGGGCTTCAGACTTTCAGGGTGTAGGGTTTAAGGATTAGGTTATATCA